TCTTTGATTGGTGGAAATATGAGCAGAATCATGGGTCATGTATTTTTTTTTTGACCAGGAATCCCACTTTTAATCATGAATATTGAATAAATGATTTTAGATAATGCAGACTAATGGCTTTATGAACAGTAAATACCATTAACAATTACCTAGCTCACAGTAGGTTTATCTTTAAAGGTTAATAAGTTATTGTTAAATCAGTTCCCCTTTGGAGAATATAAATGGGGTTTTTACTTCTTTATACTTTTGATTTCCCCCTTTACAAACCAAGCCCAACGTATATGAGCTGTGAAGGTTGTGTCATTATATATCAACATGGTCAAACATCCAAAATTGTATTAAAATGTATTGTAATATATACAGTATAATGTAAAATGTGAAATGTTTAGTGTAGTGCTCGGCTGTATTTCAACAGAACAAAGACATACTCTTTATCTCATTTATTATTTACTGGCATATTTATTTTACATGTAATAAAGTCTGCAAAGTAAAGTCTGCTGCAGGCATAGGCATGCTTGAATGGGTTTCTAGAAGGCTTCTTTTATCGTCTTGTTGCAGAATTGCTTGTATAGGCCTATGTATTTTTTACTGGCTGGTGAAATGAAATATCAGCACTGGAGTTTTTGCCTTATTTAATGCATAAAAATACTAAAACAGTATTAATTATATCAGTAACATAGGTTTGGGGCAGGACTACATGTTTGTCCAAACAATGGAAGGCTCCCTGTTTAGGGAAACCTGTTTAGAAAGTTATTATTGCGATTCTGTTTGGTGCAGCTAATGGTGCCCAAGTCACTTACAGCAGCTTTAAAGGTACAGTAATGATTTCTGGCAATGGTAGTGGGTTTGCAGTAGTTCAGTGATATCACCAGTGTGTAATTATGGCTAAAGGTGGCTAAGGCGAGTGTTTCTTGGACATGTACTGCTGATTTGCATTTGTTTTCACAGAAAGCCCTGTCCCAGTAGAATGAATGTGCCCAGCAACTGAACAAACACGATTAAAAGGGCACACAAAGGCCCACACAAGTTTGAAGTCTGAGTGCCTGGCGGGTAGCGCATATGTATATGCACCTGACAGAAAACAGAGTAAGATGCATGATCTCATTGGATGCCTGATCATTTGATGGATAGGTCATGGAGAAGCACAACTCTCTGTTGTAGTGAAGGTTAACCAACATGGTGTGACAATTTGTCAGTATCCATGAGGTCGGTCTCCACAGAATTGAGACAAGGGCATCATTCAGCACTTTCTGTGTTGAGGGCCACTCACAGGACATTTGCCAATCTGTACAACACCCATGAGACCAGCCCTTCACAAACTCAACACTGAGCCCATTTTCCTAGCTAATGAAAACTCTTTTTTGTACAATTATTGATTGAAAAACAGTAGTGATGCTAACAAACATGCTTCTGTGGTGTCTAGAATATTTTCAATAGGGATGCACCATACCTTTTTAGTTACTGAATAATATTATAGTTTTTATTTTATAATATAATATTTCTTTTACATTAATCAGTATATATATATATATATTTTTTGCTGACACTTGTAATGATGGAATACCAATAAACATGTCAGCAATGAAAGCAAACATTCAAAATCATGACATGTTAAAACCATTGAGAATTGTTTGTGCTTTCAAAGCCTCCAGCAGCTAAGGCCGTTTCAGAATCTATATGTCAGTCAATGAGCAGAATATAATGTCAGAGAGCATGACATATCCATATCTATCCTCTGTGTCTCATATTGATTCTGTGGTCAGTAGTGTTTAAGTGAATTTTCCAGGCCTCTCCTCTCCAGAGCAGCCCAGCGCAGTCAGTATATCATAGTTAATAATTATTGGCACAAATCAGTTTAGCCCAGGTGAATGGCTGAAAATTGCAGCTGCTATGTTATTTTCCTTGAGGCTTGCACAAAATATAATTCTCTGCAGCTTATTTAGCTTTATTATTATTATTATTATTATTATTATGCAGCATGGCTTTTGCACTTTATATAGCACAGAGTTGCCACCGTTAACTCCTTGGCTCATGAAACATCATAATAGTAGGCTTGAGAGTTTGATGTGTGCTATTTGAATTTAGCAAGATGTTATTTACAGACATTTGATTTCAGTGTTTTGACTGTCGAGCACATTCTGAATGTCACCCACCCTCCGAAAATGCCTCTTTCATGTTGCCCTGGAAGTGTCAGTTGTCAGATGTGTCTCCAGCTGATTTTCCTTTCAAGGCCATTCGAGGTCACATGAGTTGCTTTTTCCTGCAGGACTTTGAAGTCACTTTTTTATCAACTTTGTGCACCAACTTTGTAGCGCATCTCATCAAGTTTATGCCTAGCAGTCGTTGCCATGACAGCAGCTACCACTTTGTGTCACACTTGTGATGAGAGCGAATGACGTGCATATATCCTATGAGACATCGTTGAAGTTTAAGTAGTCTAATATCTCAGAATTAGCAAATAGGCATCTGTCGACAGCGAAAAAGCAGTCCAAGGATCTTTTCATGATAGCAGATTCCCTGCAGGGAATTCATAACCGGCGAGTGACTGAATATCGTACATGATCTAATGCTTTTGCTCGAATGAACCACTTCTGTGTTCACTTAGGGAAGACTCAGGGTGAACATAAAAGATTGTTGTGACTTAAAGCATGTCGCATCTTCTAATTGACTGATAAATTAAGGAAATGCATATATAAAATGACCTTCTAAGGTTTTACAAGGCATAAAACAACCTAGAGACTGGCCCTATTTAATGCCTGAGGACTTTTTTCATCAATCTTGGTTACATCTAATTTTGTTCTGTTAGATCTCGCAAGGGCTTTGCATTGAAACTGTGTTCATTTAAAGGGATAGTTCACCCAAAAATGAATATTCTGTCATTCATTACTCAACCTCATGTCTTTCCAAACCCGTAAGACCTTCGTTCATCTTCAGAACACAAATTCAGAATTATTTTTGATGAAATCTTAGAGCTTTTTGGCCCTGCATAGACAGCAACACAACTACCACGTTCAAGGCCCAGAAAAGGAATTAAGGTCATCATTAAGATAGTCAGTGTGACATCAGTGGTTCAACTGAAATGTTATGAAGCTACGAGAACACAAAACAAAAATACTGACTTTATTAAACAATTTCTTGTCAGTTGCATTGGAATACATTGCACGTTTTCTGCCCAGATTTTTGTCCAATTTACAGTCTGGGGAAGACAATGCTAGTTGACAGATTTCACAGGAAATAGCACAGATTATGATGGATTAAAACGTTAGTTCTCATTTAGTTTATTATTGACTGTTTTTCTCAAACCAGTTTATTGTTTTAAAATCTTTTCGGATTTGAAAATCCTATAGTGTATTTCAGCCTTTAACATCTTGTCTAAGATTTTTGAGTCATATTTCCCTGACATGGCCAGCCAGGGAAAAAAAAACAGCTGTACAAAAGATTGTTTCCCTGTTTCTAATTTCGGCTAAATGTTTGTCAATTATTGTGTGAAATTGCTCGTTGTTTTTAGATATGGCTGCACGATGAAGGAGGCTCTGTGAGTAGGAGCTTGGCTTTCATTTTTCCATTTTCTGTTTCACTGATTTCTCCAGTTTGCCAGACCTGAAAATTAGCATTGTCAACATCAGTTCTCCCATACTACCCTCAGATTTCACCGACATGTGTCCGTGAGTCCTCACTCAGAGCCTTGAAGATTACATTGATACACAAGTTAGCATTTTTTTGGTACATCTATACGGTTTGAATTATTTATATCTTGATACCAGGCTGTCAGGGAGGTAGTCCCAATGATCACTCACTTCATCAGTTCAACAGCATCTCTCTTCCATTCCGCCGCTCTTAAGTTGATACGTGAATATGTCTATACACTTTTGAAAGATTCCACCTCCGCAAATAAGCTTCCCGGCTCAGAGAGAGAAGTTCATTGGAGACAAATGGTGCACATTTCACAGGTAGGCCTTTGCAACCGCTGTGATTTGTTTCATTGCTAATGGGGGCTGAAGTGCAGGGGCCCCAGGCCATTTGCTTTTTTGGAGTGGCAGTCTGAGCGAGTACAGCCAGCATCTCTTAACAGCTCTGAAAGAAAAAACCATCAGCACCAACTGAGTTCCTCTCAGACTGGGCTTCCAGAAGACTTTTCTCTTTACCTCTCCTCATTACCATACACAGGCTCTACAGATAGAATCTCTAATGCCCACAGGGCGCTTTTCCAGGCCTCTCCTCTCCAGAGCAGCCCAGCGCAGTCAGTATATCATAGTTAATAATTATTGGCACAAATCAGTTTAGCCCAGGTGAATGGCTGAAAATTGCAGCTGCTATGTTATTTTCCTTGAGGCTTGCACAAAATATAATTCTCTGCAGCTTATTTAGCTTTATTATTATTATTATTATTATTATGCAGCATGGCTTTTGCACTTTATATAGCACAGAGTTGCCACCGTTAACTCCTTGGCTCATGAAACATCATAATAGTAGGCTTGAGAGTTTGATGTGTGCTATTTGAATTTAGCAAGATGTTATTTACAGACATTTGATTTCAGTGTTTTGACTGTCGAGCACATTCTGAATGTCACCCACCCTCCGAAAATGCCTCTTTCATGTTGCCCTGGAAGTGTCAGTTGTCAGATGTGTCTCCAGCTGATTTTCCTTTCAAGGCCATTCGAGGTCACATGAGTTGCTTTTTCCTGCAGGACTTTGAAGTCACTTTTTTATCAACTTTGTGCACCAACTTTGTAGCGCATCTCATCAAGTTTATGCCTAGCAGTCGTTGCCATGACAGCAGCTACCACTTTGTGTCACACTTGTGATGAGAGCGAATGACGTGCATATATCCTATGAGACATCGTTGAAGTTTAAGTAGTCTAATATCTCAGAATTAGCAAATAGGCATCTGTCGACAGCGAAAAAGCAGTCCAAGGATCTTTTCATGATAGCAGATTCCCTGCAGGGAATTCATAACCGGCGAGTGACTGAATATCGTACATGATCTAATGCTTTTGCTCGAATGAACCACTTCTGTGTTCACTTAGGGAAGACTCAGGGTGAACATAAAAGATTGTTGTGACTTAAAGCATGTCGCATCTTCTAATTGACTGATAAATTAAGGAAATGCATATATAAAATGACCTTCTAAGGTTTTACAAGGCATAAAACAACCTAGAGACTGGCCCTATTTAATGCCTGAGGACTTTTTTCATCAATCTTGGTTACATCTAATTTTGTTCTGTTAGATCTCGCAAGGGCTTTGCATTGAAACTGTGTTCATTTAAAGGGATAGTTCACCCAAAAATGAATATTCTGTCATTCATTACTCAACCTCATGTCTTTCCAAACCCGTAAGACCTTCGTTCATCTTCAGAACACAAATTCAGAATTATTTTTGATGAAATCTTAGAGCTTTTTGGCCCTGCATAGACAGCAACACAACTACCACGTTCAAGGCCCAGAAAAGGAATTAAGGTCATCATTAAGATAGTCAGTGTGACATCAGTGGTTCAACTGAAATGTTATGAAGCTACGAGAACACAAAACAAAAATACTGACTTTATTAAACAATTTCTTGTCAGTTGCATTGGAATACATTGCACGTTTTCTGCCCAGATTTTTGTCCAATTTACAGTCTGGGGAAGACAATGCTAGTTGACAGATTTCACAGGAAATAGCACAGATTATGATGGATTAAAACGTTAGTTCTCATTTAGTTTATTATTGACTGTTTTTCTCAAACCAGTTTATTGTTTTAAAATCTTTTCGGATTTGAAAATCCTATAGTGTATTTCAGCCTTTAACATCTTGTCTAAGATTTTTGAGTCATATTTCCCTGACATGGCCAGCCAGGGAAAAAAAAACAGCTGTACAAAAGATTGTTTCCCTGTTTCTAATTTCGGCTAAATGTTTGTCAATTATTGTGTGAAATTGCTCGTTGTTTTTAGATATGGCTGCACGATGAAGGAGGCTCTGTGAGTAGGAGCTTGGCTTTCATTTTTCCATTTTCTGTTTCACTGATTTCTCCAGTTTGCCAGACCTGAAAATTAGCATTGTCAACATCAGTTCTCCCATACTACCCTCAGATTTCACCGACATGTGTCCGTGAGTCCTCACTCAGAGCCTTGAAGATTACATTGATACACAAGTTAGCATTTTTTTGGTACATCTATACGGTTTGAATTATTTATATCTTGATACCAGGCTGTCAGGGAGGTAGTCCCAATGATCACTCACTTCATCAGTTCAACAGCATCTCTCTTCCATTCCGCCGCTCTTAAGTTGATACGTGAATATGTCTATACACTTTTGAAAGATTCCACCTCCGCAAATAAGCTTCCCGGCTCAGAGAGAGAAGTTCATTGGAGACAAATGGTGCACATTTCACAGGTAGGCCTTTGCAACCGCTGTGATTTGTTTCATTGCTAATGGGGGCTGAAGTGCAGGGGCCCCAGGCCATTTGCTTTTTTGGAGTGGCAGTCTGAGCGAGTACAGCCAGCATCTCTTAACAGCTCTGAAAGAAAAAACCATCAGCACCAACTGAGTTCCTCTCAGACTGGGCTTCCAGAAGACTTTTCTCTTTACCTCTCCT